GCTGTCTTTAAGACGCAGCTCCGTCCACGGTTTATTGAGCTTTCAAAGGTCGTGGCCAAGCGAGGCCTAGCGTTTACGCCAATTCTTCCGAGAAGGATACCCACCCGGTGTTTTATGTGGGCTTGCTTAAGCCAAACTAGGCTCCGGTGCAAGAGAACGCGGAAGCGTTGGCGCCGGGGCGGCGCTCAAAGGCGGCCACCCAAAAATTGAACCAGCAACTGGTTCTAAGCACGGAGTGCAGTAATTTCCGTTTTCAACGGCGCAAGGCACTCCACCGTCGAACTGATGTATTCGTCTGCTCGACGGCTTGAAGTTTCTTCGACAGAGCACAATAATCCTCAATGTGGGGTAGTCGGTGCACAAAGTGCTCCAGGCTATCGAGGTTTTCCGCACAGCGGTAGGCGATCTCAACGGATACTCCGCAGAATGCCGGGGACGATGGACTTTGTCTTCTAAAGCTCGAAGAGCATCGCAAGCCACCTGCGGGCGATCAACCAGGTCGTCATCGCCAGCCGCCGACTCTTCTCGATGAGAATAATGGCGTCCACTACCACGTGAAACGCCTTGTGAATCGACGTCGTGGGCGGAAACTAACCCAATATCTTGTGAAGTGGCGGGGATACCCAAATCTGAGTATTCGAGGGAGTTTGAGGTGCAACTTCGGCAAGATTGCCCAGACGTCGTGGACGCTTATGATCGGAAGGATCATGACGCTTCGCGTCGTAGTGCACACCGCGCTTCTCGGCAATAGCCAGGGAAGCCATGAGCTGAGATAAGTCATAGCCCTGAGCTGCTGAGGTCGTAGACTTACCCGTGTGAGAATCCATAGAGCTCGCGGGAGTGTGATGGAGTGCTCCAGGCGACAATACGCAGGAAGTCGGCGTTGCGCATTGAATCTGGCAAACTCAAATTTAAGTTGGCGCTCAACGCGCACGTCCACTTCCTTGTTGCTTCGCTTTAAGGTAGACAGTTATGACAGTTTCAGCCAACGCTCAGCGCTCATCATCATCTGCAGCGGTTTCGCCAGGAGTGAGCACCACAGGATTAGTCCGCATTGAGGGGAAAGGAGCACCTCCTTTTTGTGCTCGAAGTCGAGCGCGGTTCCGATCCATTAAAATTTCATGTGGAACCAAAAAGCGAGCTCGAGGAGCTTTCCGCTGATCAGAATCAGCTTGTGTGATGGTTTAGGGTTTCTAAAACATTAAACTTGCATGTGTTAAGCATACCGACAGTATTTATTCTGAGGTGGCCGGGGGCCCGACTACGTAGACGCCTAATGATCAAGTGATCGCGTCTTTTGCTTAAGTAGCGCCAAGCGGAAGTCGTAGGGTCTAAAATCGAACCTGGATACGAGCGCATGAGAGCCGCCCTGTGGACTCGTAGTCGCCTTACTCTAACTTCCCGACGAGGGAACCCGTCGCCCGGGGTGTGTTGCGCTCGGTTGCCGAGGGCTTTGGATGTGCCTTCCGTGAAGCCGCGGACGTACGTGTTTGGAGAAGCACTCTGTGCAGAAGATCGAGAAGAAGAAGGGCTTTGCCCGCGGGTACTCTTTCATTGTCGTCTGATCAACAATTGTGATGATCTGGCCCAGCCTTTCGCAGCTAGGCTTGACTCTTGGCGGAGACTTGTTCGCCTTGAAAACGAGAACAAAATGAAGCGTCTGCTTCACCGACCAGTCGGGACCAAGCTCAACTAAGTTATGGTCGTAAGAGTGTTGCCTCTAGCAACACTACAAGCAAATATCATGGCTGTAGACCACGTCGCGGACATCAGACTCTAAGACTTGACGAGGTTCCCACGTGTCCCAGTCTGATGGACAGCCACGCCGCCGAACGCTGTAGAAGTTTTGGTAGTCTCACTTCTTCTATCCAGGGTGACGAGTCAATCGATCTTCGTGATCGACAATCGTCTCAACCACCCAAGGACACTTTTTACGGGAGTCTAGTAGTAGTGATGGGGTTGAGCGTAAAAACGATTGAGCAACTCTGAAAGTGGAAGAGCGCTCATTGCGGGAATATGAGGCATTGCTTCAGCGTTGCTCAACGCTTGAGGATCGCTGCGAGAGCCTTTCAAACCTTGTCGCAGACCAGAACTCGAAATTCGACTTTCTGACTGATGGGTTAACCTATGTTCGGCTGCGGAGTTTCGTTTTGAACTACGGTCTCAACAGGTTGATGATAAACTTGTTGACTCCGAAACTGCGAAAAATGTTGTGAGATGGCTCACGAACACCTGTTGCGCTCTGTTGGAGAGGCAGGATCTGATCTCGAGGTACTTCGTGGTGAGTACCATTCTCGCCTACAAGCGTTGATATTAGTGAAAGGGCAATTCTCCGATGTTCTCCAACGCTTGTACGCCGAGAAGAATCTCCAGGGTGAAGCAATGATTGCTCTTCGGGAACAAATGGAGAAACTTCATCATCAGTTTGATGATTTACCAAAGGTAGAATAGGCTCTGTTTGACCGTCCGTTTCTGTGTGTGCCACCATTGACACGGACACTTTGGCACCCAATAGTCCAAGCAGTGCACGTTAAAAAATCGATGCAAAACGGGTGTCACGGTCCGACACGATCTCAAAAGGAAGGCCATGCAGACGGGAAACAATGTCGACATAGACCGTACCTGTCTTTTCGGCAGATATCTTGTCCGAAACAGGCGCAAGATAAACCATCTTGCTGAATCGGTTCACTAACACAAGGATACAATTGCATCCATGTGTTGTCCGAATATGTAGTCCATACTCACAGAGTTTCAACTGTCAGTTGTCACTACCATCGAGTGAAGTGGGGCATGAGTGGAACTTGATGGTTTCACTCTCTGGCAGCTTTCACAAGTCTTTACATACTTGTGCACACTCTTATACAAGTGTGGCCGGTGGCAATCCGGAGAAAGACGGGGGAACTTTTTCTCACGTTTGAGATGGCCATGTTATAGTAATCATATAAGAGACGATGACGCAAACCTTCGTCATTTGGAACAACAACTTTCACTGTATTTCCGTGTACAATCGCGTAGTACAGCTTTCTGTCGTATACTTTAAAACGGTGAACTCGAGATCTTGTGCGAGAAGCATATTCTTGCAGTGCTTTGTCGATAGAGTCGTTGAAGTACCTCAACAAATCCAGACATGCCTCATCAGACTTGTACCCTTCGACAATTTCTTTGCGTATTGTAGGCGTAGCTTGCACTCTGATCGTTTCATCATCATCGCATTGTCGACATTACCCGTGTATTTTTTATCCCTGGACTTTGGATCATAGTTCCGACATCTTGACAACGCATCGGCTGAGATTTTCATCTTGCCTGGCTTGTAGTGTACAACAAAGTTGTACTCCGCAAAGAAGTAATGTAATCGAGCCATTCTTTGCGATAAATGAGGAGTTTTTACTGCTGTACACAGTAGAGCATGATCTGTATAGATCGCAAAGCGCTCCTCGTCAAACAAGTACACCCGGAACTTAACCAAAGCATTTTTCAGGGCAAGAAAATCTTTGTCATGAACTGGATATTTTCGGTCCGCGGGCCGGAGATTTCGCGACTGATACGAAAAAACTTGCTCTCGACCCTCACCATCGTGTTGCATCAACGCACAACCGATGGCAAAATCACTTGCATCGCAGGCCACATGAAAAGGTTTATCGTGAAGTGCAATCGCAAGGACAGGAGCTTCTGTCAACCTCTTCTTCATTTCGGCAAATACCGCCTGGTGATCTTTTGACCATTCTCACTCAACGTTCTTCTAAAAAAGAGTCGCCAGGAGTTGCACCAACGCTACATAATTGCGCGTGAATCTGTGCAAATATTTGGTGAAGCCCAACCATTGTCTCAGCTGTTTCACATTATTTGGCACAGGCCAATCATTGATACCTTTGCCTTTCTCCGGATCTACACGTACGCCATTCTTGCCCATAAAGCAGCCGAGAACGGGGATCTCTGGTGCAAATAAACTGCACTCTTGCAAATTAGCATATATTCTATTCTCTCGCATAACTTGGAAAATTTGACGACGATGAACAAGATTACAATCCATCCAACTTCTCACCCATTTTCTTACTATGCACAAATATTTTGTCAAAGTAATTCGGTGCAAACTCTCTTAAAAGGACGAAAAGATTTGTGACGATTATGTTGAAAGTCTCGGGAGCGTTCCTTAAGTCTTGTGGCATCGCTAACCATTCCCTCAGCATACCCACTAGGGGTACTAGCTGCAGTTAGTGGTGTATCATATTCGCACTTTCGTATCTGATAGAAATCATCTTTCAGATCATTTGTACTGAAAATAGCACTGCCAACCATTCCAACAAGAATCATATCCTTGCGTGCGTGGAACCGAAGTCTGGGCAGGTATGGTCGCATCACTCAATTTGGTGAGAGCGTGAACAATGCGCCAATCTCCTGTGGCTTTCGTCACACAGAAGGCTGGGCTGCAATGCGAAGACTTGCTCTCACGCACATGACCAGCCTTCTGTCGCTGCCAACGAAGTCGTCAATTGCAGTTCTTTTGGCAACGGCCACTGCCGTGTGATACAATACTTCGTACCAGAAAGTATGTCAA